GGTGTCATTTAAAATAATACGTACAAATGATTCATTTAAATTGCATATATTTTCTGTCATTTCTTTTCTAAACCCTATTCATTGTTTACAAAGTTCATAAGCGTAAACCAATTCATTCCCAGACGCGCGTCCTGTAAAGTTTGTCAACCACAGCTATGCGCTCCTTTGATGTTAAACGATTGTTGCTATTAACGATGACAGCGGTCTAATGTCGTCTCTGTAAGACGGTCTAAATTTAGATCGGCATGTCGCTGGAAAGAGACCAGTGACTGGTGCTCCTTTAATAGTTTATCTTATTGGCAATTGTAGTATCCTTGACACGAATATAAATATAATACACGATGATATCCAAAACATCAAGAACTCTCATAACAAACACGTTGCACTAAGACATTCAAATTTCAGATTTAGGCCTACACATAATATTTCATTTTTAGGGGAACATAAAAAACATTACATCCTCAAATAAATATTAAGCCTAAATGTTCATATGCAGTTAGTTCATAACATAATCCGAATGCCAGACTGGTACAGTCTTTCGCCTAGAAGAACGTCGTAAGACTCCCTGTGTAGTCTCCTGTGTAGATGATTGCACATCCCTTAATATCATCGGTTCATCTGGCTGTACATTGCAACTAAGTTGAGTATCAAAATCAAATTCAATATCTGAATAAATTGATGAATGCGGCGCATACAAGATGTTACGTCGATTTCTCCTATACATTTTCCCATTTACTTCAACAATATATGAACGAGGCGTTCCAGCACATTTAACAATTCTTCCAGTGGAACCCCACCCATGTTTAGATTTAATTTTCTCTTTATCACCCGGTTTAAGTTCTTTCAAATTTCTTGCACCATATTTTGAATTATAATACACTTCCCCTTTTCGCTTATATGATTTATCAGCCACTCGAATATCTTTCTGGTTTGGTGTATAAGGTTTGAGTTTCACATGTAGTTGAGGTAGAGTTGTTCGTATCTCTCTTCCCATCAGTAATACAGAAGGACTCAAACCCAAACTAGGTATTGGTGTTGATCGATAAGCCATTAAAGCTGAAATGTAATCAGTTTGTTTAAGAATGTTCTTTGAAATATGCACTGCTTTCTCTGCTTGCCCATTTGCTTGAGCATGGTATGGACTAACAGTGACATGTTCAAAGTTGTAATCTTGTGCAGATTGACGAAATTCTCCCAAAAACTGAGGACCGTTATCGGTGATAACTGTTTCCGGAATACCAAAACGAGCAAAGTCAACTTTCAAAAAGTTAATCACAGCAGCGGACGAAGTTTTATGCATAGCATGTATTTCAATTCATTTCGAATAACAGTCCACTACTATCAAATACTGTTTACCATCTAATTCCGCCAAATCAAAAAGAAAAAGTCAAAAATCAAAAAAGAAATTTCAGCACATTTCAACAACCATGCTTACACTACAACGAACAAACCAAGATAATCA